TAACTTTCCCTGAGAATTACACGGACCTCTGGAAGTGCGTTCCTCACTGGTTGTGAGTGAGCTCCCCCACGTTTCTCACCCGACCTTTGTTTTTCATATGGACTCTTATACATGTTTTATTGGAAACTTTTTCATTTGTAGCTTTCAATCTTCGTTTTGAGCCTGTCTGATAGAAAATCTCTGTTGGACTTCAGCACTGTCTATATTTAACACGATGTGTTTCTTTCTAGGATTTAGATATTGTGCGTGGAAAACTAGATAGTGAATGGTTTTGTGAGTTCCAAAGCTAACAGAAATTACTCTTGTATTTTCCTATATCAGGAAATAAAGATGGCGGAAGCTATGACCTACACAGGTATTCACCCTTTTTTATTCTCCTCGGCAGCTTCTTTCCCAATAATTGCATGACCCGGTCATTCTGACTAATTTCTGTTTCTTACCATGTTGCACAGAGCACATCTTGGGGTGCATGCTTGTTCTAACAGCATTCTCCACCATATTTTGTCGTTGGTCACAGACCTGTCATTTTGCTTTTAAGTCAGCTCACGATCCCATCAAGATGTCTCAGAGCATCTGCTCCCCCCCCCCCACGCTTGTTTGCTTGTTGACTGATGCTCCTAAGCATGGAACCATGTGAAGGGGGAGAGCCCTGGAAGAGAGTGGGCGATTTCTGTTCTTTGAGGCGCTTACACACTGATTGGGGTGAGGAGGCTTGGCAGAATCTGAGTAGGGATTTTTATAAAATATAACATCAGAGACACAAGAGGACCAATGAGAATTTCAAGAGCATTCTGAAGCCAAAGTTGCAGGAAATAGATGTCCTTGAATGTCCCTGTGGATATGGTCATTAATTAACTTTGGTGATGAACAGCAGTGGCCGGACATAAGATGCGGCAGACTCTACAGAGTGGTGGTGGATAAAGAGGGGCTGGGGACAGGCTATCTGCAGAGTCGAGGTACTCAGAAGGGTCTCAGCGTGGCACCGAGATCACAGTGCCTGGTACACGAACACTCCCTCAGCCCCGTCCTCTTATCCTTTCAACCCCATCTGTCCCGCCTACCTCCCCATGCTCTGGAGGGGGGACCCAGACACCTGGTAGCTGTGTCACTTGGTCACCTGGCAGCACCAGCTATTGCTAATTTTTCACTCCAAGCGCAGACCTTGTGAGTCTATCAGAAACACACTGTGTGCAGCAGTGAGGACGGTCCTCACCACCTCTGCTGAGGGAAAACTCAGGCACGGATGTGTTAACAGGACCCTAGTTAATGAATCCATGTGGGAGAAGTCCATCCCTCAAAGAAGCATCAAATGACACCATTGGTGCCAGCCATAGTCCTCCCTTCTCAGAGACAAGAACGCATCCACCGCCATTCCCGCCAGCCTCAGAGCTGTGGTCGGTCGCACAGTCCTCCTTCTAGATGACAGTTTAGAAGATAGAAACAAACCTGGGATGCTGGGCCTGTGAAGATATTTGATAGCCGTTCACATATCTCTTCTTCTTTCTCTCTTCCCTCCTGTTTTTCTTCTTTTTGATCCTCATCCTGCCTCCACCAGTCCCAGCACACATGAAACAGAGCAGAAGAACCCACTCTTAAGCCAGCGTCCCCTGGGGTCTGGGCTGATGAGGTGACATCCTTATACCAAGACGCTCTGCCCGCTTCCCGTGGTCCACATTAAGACGTTTCTGAAGTATAACTTCATATGTGGCCCTAACACTAAATACTGACTTTACAGTTGATTTATGATGCCCTCAGCTTATAGCTGGGGGTTGCCTGTCTAGGGTGCTTTTACTTTGGTCATGAAAGAGGAAAAGGGTTACTTGAGACATAAGCCTGGACAGTGCTGAGTCAGAGTCAGTTTTCACAAGGTCAGCCCTGGACAGCTTTGAAATGATGAATGATTCGCTCCACTTTGAGGGTAATTTAATGACAAGCCTCTTTCCCTTTCCCCAACCCCTGACACAATCATTGGTTTCTGAGGTCATTTTGATGTAGGTGACTTCAGCGGTTGGACGTATGTGTGCAGGGGTCACAGGGTTATTTTCCTTCCAAGCTCCTTACCAAAGAGCAGATTGGAGGATACTCCATAATTCAGAGTCAGTGGCACTCTCGTGGGCGTCTCTCAGGTGATATCCATGTTGCTCAGGAAATTTTGGCACAGGGTGGCTGAGAGAGCATCTGCCTAGTCACACCTGGGGACCTACCAGACACCTCAATGCAATTTGATGTGGCCTTCCCTGTTCAGGGTGTCTTGGAGGATGGAACGGGAACTGCCTGTGCGGCCTTGCTGGGAAAACAGCTGTCTCCTGAAGGGCTCACATCGCCGTCCGGTCAAGGTTGCTAGGGTGTAGGTCAAAGCCCTCCAATGATGGCACCATTCATGGGGGTTGAAAGCCTTAATTCTTTCAGCTTTTAATGGTTTTAGAAAACTAATTGAGGTATATTTTTAATCATGGACATTTGATTACGAAAAAACTTGAGAGAAACAACAACCAGACCTGAAGAATTCAAAATTTGAAAATTCAACCGAGCATGTTAGAAAATTCATGTTGTCCAAGATGGACGAAAGAAATAACTTTTACGCTGCTTTCTTTAGGTTGGTTTTCAAAAATTAATCTTTAGGCTTATTTAGAAAGAATCTTCAAAAATCGAGTTTGTTCCCTGTTCAATTTCTTTTTGTTTCCTCCCTCCCTCCCTCCCTCCCTTTCTCCCTCCCTCCCTCCCTTCCTTCCTTCCTGTCTCTGATGCTATTTCTTGTGCTCAAGGTGGGGGCGGTGGAAATGCTTTGCTTACTCACACTGGTCATTTTCCAGTGAGGACGGGCACAGCTCAGACAGTGGCACCAGTGACTCAGGAACTAATTTTTGGCTCGATTTGACAGCAGTAGCTTCTAGCTGTGTTGCAGAATAGGAAAGGCTCAACAGGTTGCTGGGTGTTTGTTTTTCCCACTGCATCTGAAAGCTGACGCTGCTGCCTTGGATGTCCAAGAAGCGCTCCTGGCAGCCGCGGCCCTGCCTCCCGCAGCCGTGCAGGGCAGATGGTGGGGTGTTGGCAGCCTTCCTCTGACAGGGCTGCTTCCTGATGCTTCCTGATGCTTCGCTACAGCCTGCCCAGCTAGCAGAGACCTCACCGAGCTCCACCCTCAGCAACCACGCCCCGTCCACACTGCTTTCCCTTATTTTCATTCATCTCCCTCATAGCAACAAGATGGCTGGGGGGGGACACAGCTGTGTGTCAGTGGCTGCTCACTGCTGCAGTCTGGGCGTGGGTGCTGGGCCAGACTGCTCTGAGTTCAAATCCCAGCCTCACTGCTGAACATGCTTAGAACTGGCAAACCCCAGTAATGGTGGGTATCGTCAGTGAAATAATACAGGATACAGGATACAGAACATTCGTGTGGATAAGACAGTGTGTGACGGGGAATAGGAAGGGATGCAGAGTCCAAAGGATGTTAGCATATTGTATAAGAGAGAAAAAGTTACTGGTCAGCAGCACCACGCCTCCATCAGCAGTCATCGCAACAGGGAGGTGAGCTCAAGTCCATTTTCTGACCTGCCAGAACCTTTCTCTTGAGATGAGAAGACAATCCCAGACCTTCACACCTTGATCTACATTTCTCTAACAAAGCTTCTCCGGTTCTCTTCCCCCTGTCATGTCTCAGGGACTCTGTCTTATTTCCAAACTGCCTCGCTGGTGCTGTTGGACTTTTTTCTGCTTCAGGTAGTTAAACAGACGATGAGACAAGGGCAGGGTTTGGAGTTAAAGGGCTGCAAGTGAGGCCAGCCTTCTAAGGCAATGAGGAGTTGTGGGGTGAAGGTTGCCGGGTGTAGGTCAGAGGCAGGGCCACTGGGGGAGCCTGTGGGTTTGCCCCCTGCGCAGAGGTGTGTCGTGGAGGGGCAAGTAGGCACTGACATCCCAGCCGTCCCAGCCACAGCTTCCCTGAATGAGCTGTAGGACCCGGGGCAGTGGGGGCAACAGTGGCCACTCTGGTCAGGATCAAAGTTAGACCCGAGTTGGTCTAAGCGCTCAGAGAATATTCATCATTTTTTTTTCTTACTCATCTAGCGGTGATGCTACTCCCAGTTCCTTGTTTTGTGTGCCGTAGAAGGGGGAGCTAGAGGTAGCATGCGCACAACTCTGCAAGATGCTTCCCAAACTGAAGAATGGAATTTATCTTAATCAGTCTCAATATTTAGAGGGGAAACGATAAGGAAAAATTCCTCTTCTTTCAGCCATTCAGTGAATAAATTAAGACAGCAAGAATCTAAATGACCACCACGCACAGATTGGGAATTGTAATTCTAATGCACAGTGCAAAGTGCACTGGTGGGGAATTCCTGGAATACCTCACTTAATAGGAGCAGTGGCCCAGCCCCAAGTCACCCTAAGGAATCAGAAGACACTTCCCAAAGAGGTCGCATCCCTGCCACATCCTGAAGACAGCCTTGGGGCAGCCTAGGCACAGGAGAGAAAGGAAGTCAGCCCAGCTAGAAGAGACCACAGGCAGAGGGGAGGTTTGCGTGGGGACTTAGGAGGAGTTAGTGAGTACGAGGGAGTGGCAGAGAGGGACAAACTGAAGAGGCCACCAGAGCCTGGCTTATGTGAGGTGACAATACAACGTATCTTCCAAACAGGGATATTTTTTGACCATGGGTAGGAGTACTAAAAAATAATTGAAATTATATAAATTTTAATGTATGTATTTACTGAAAAAATGAATTAGTCACTAGATCTGTGCAACAGCTGTGTTTACTTGTTAATCTCTACACTATACTATTTTTTAAATAAAAATTTTGGACAAACGCTAAACTGAACTGGATGCCAGTACAACAGACTTAAACTGGGACCATCCTGGCAAAACCAGAAAATTTGATCATGCTGGTCACAGAGTACAGCAAAGAATTTTGAATGCAATAGGGAGAAATTTTAGAGTTTTAAAAAAGGAGAAATAGGCGAATCGGCAGCCAGAGAAGTTCTAAGGTTCGGGTCCCAATACGGGAATGAGCCTCTCTGATATTTTCCGGGGGTTTTTTGGCTTTCCCGGACCTCAGAGGTGAGAGTAGGTTCAGCTTGAACAAAGAGATCCCTTTTTTGGAGGAATGACGCGAGTGAAGATGAGGATGAAGAAGAGGAAGAAGGAGCTACGTGGGGCTGTGGGAGCCCAAGATTTGATGGTCTCCAGTCCCCTGAGGAATTTGGCTTCAGCTTCAGATTCAGTCCAGGAGGAGGGATGCGTTTCCGTGATAACTTTGGCTTTGATGACCTAGTACGAGATTTCAATAGCATCTTTGGCGAGATGGGGGCCTGGACCTTGCCTTCCCAACCTCCTGAGCTTCCAGAGTCAGAGATACCTTGTGAGAGACTGCGGAAGAGACAGACACTTCGGGACTCAATGCTTAAGTATCCAGATAGTCACCAGCCCAGGATCTTTGGGGGGGTCTTGGAGAGTGATGCAAGAACTGAATCCCCTAAACCAGCACCAGACTGGGGCTCCCAGAGGCCTTTTCAGAGGTTTGATGATATTTGGCCTATGACCCCCTATCCTAGAGCCAGAGAGGATAATGTCTTGATTCCCAGGTCTCCCAGGAGGGTCTTGGCCCAGTTCTACAGCCCCAGCCCAAATCCTATTTCAAGAGCATCTCTGTGACCAAGATCACTAAGCCAGATGGGGTAGTGGAGGAACGCCGGACTGTGGTGGACAGTGAGGGCCGGACAGAGACCACAGTAACCCGACAAGAAGGAGACAACAGTCATATAAGTGATCTAGAGTCACCAAGGCCGCCAGTCCTGGATGATGCCTTTTCCATCCTGGATTTATTCCTAGGACGTTGGTTCCGGTCCCAGTAGCCTTCGGATCTTTCCCACGTCCCACCAGTTGCCCGTTATCAATAAGCTTAGCTTCTCCTGCCATCTCAGGGGCTTGGGCATGTGGAACAGTGAATTGGGGGTATGTCAGTATGTCACCCAGACTGACCAATAAAACTTTATTTATGCTAAAAAAAAAAAAGGAGAAATAATATGAGAGGATTTAGGGTAATCAGATTCAGTAATAGTTGTGACAGTAGTTTTATGGGTCAGGTTGGGATCTACTTCTAACTCTATCACTTCCCAATCTGGGGACCAAATTAACAGTATTGCATTAATTCACTGTATTCTGGATGGTTTACATGTAACTCTCACTGTAACTTTGTGAGGTCAGAATTATTATTACCTTCATCCTACAGATGAGGAAATTAAATCCCAGTGATTTAATTTCCCAAGATTATACAGCTAGCAGATGGCAGAATTCAAACCCAGGGAATCTGTTTCTAGCACATGCTATTAAATTCTCTTGGACAATTTAACCTCTTCTATTCTGACTTAATTTTCTCATCTGTAAAAAGGTGACAGTAACACATTTACATGTTAATACCTGAGCATTACATGAGATAATACCTGAAAAGTAAGCCCTGAATTAATGTTGTTATTCTGTCGTGGTGCTTGATTATAAATTTGAATAACAAGAGATAAATTATAGCAAAGAGCCCTGGAATTTTGAAGGACATTTACCTTCATCTTGATGGATGATAAAATTCGCAGTTTTATTATCATTTAAGTATTAAGATAGAAAGTTGTGCATTTTACCCATAAGCCAGTATATTATTTTAATCAGCCAATGACTGTGCAGTGATTCATCTATAGATAAGTGATATGTCTCATATTTTTTTCTATTTCTATACTGCCTTCCTAGTTGAACATTCGTGCCTTTGATTTGTGAAATAAATAGCTGTTCTTGAAATTCATCAATAAAACTATGTAGATTAGAATTTATAGTCTTGGCTCGGCACCTGTGGCTCAAGCAGCTAAGGCGCCAGCCACATACACCTAAGGTGGCAGGTTCGAATCCCCAGTCTGGGCCAAACAACAATGATGGCTGCAGCCAAAAAAAAAATGGCCAGGTGTTGTGGCGGACGCCTGTAGTCCGAGCTACTTGGGAGGCTGAGGCAGGAGACTTGCTTGAGCCCAGGAGTTGGAGGTTGCTGTGAGCTGTGATGCCATGGCACTGTACCCAGGGGGACAGCTTGAGGCTCCGTCTCAAAAAAAAAAAAAAAAGGAGACTCTGTCTCTTAAAAAAAAAAAAAAAAGAAAGAAAGAATTTATAGTCTTCTGTGCCTAGCAAATGCCTTTAAACAGGTATTTACGATTGCCTTTTTGATATTGTGCAGGACATCAAAATCAGAATCTCTGAAAGTTCAAAGCCTGTCAGGAGCATCTAGCCTTTTATTTTTTTCTTCTCTGCTGCACAGTAGAAAAATAAGAGTTGTCTTGGGCTACACATTAACTACACAAATACCAATGAAAGCTGATGAGGAAAGAAAAGGTCTGTGAATACTTTTTGTATATCTGACGCTACAGATAAGCAAAGAAAGTCTTCACAAAATCATCATGTGGCCCGTGGGCCACAGGTTGGACACCCCTGGCTAAATCAAATTTCATTTCACACTAAAACATATGTTTCAAGCAGCATGAAAATCACCCAAGAAGCGTTACAGATTCAGTCCCAAATATTGCAAACTCTGGGCTTCAGAAAAAACCGAGAGATCACACAGAAACACGGAAGGGCTGTGACATAGGAGTGCTGATACTCTGTTGAGGCTCTTTATCTGGAGAATTAAATTAGCACCATGAGGAATGAAACGTGGGGAGAATAGCTGTGTTAAAAAAACATATCCTGCCAGACAGCAGCAAACAAGACAGTGATGCCTTGTGATTTGCTGGTCGGACCATTACTTGCTTCATGAAAGTAGAGACATCTACCCAAGTGAAATTCAGTCTGCTGCTGAGCACAGGTTCCAGAATCAGATACCAACGGACGCTGCAAAGGTCGGTGTGAGGAGACCCAGAGGAAGGGCAGAAAGGCCCACTGCTGGCAGGCAGAGAAGGTGCTGAAACAGGGCTGGGGAGAAGGGACACACCTTCTAGGAATAAACAGCAAACACCAAGGAACGAGAGCGTCTGGGACTTTTAGGAAGTTGTACTTGTTCTGTGGCCTAAAAGTGCAGGGGTCAGAGAGGCTGCAGGAGTCATCTTTAGTCTATAGAAACAATCCTTGCTGCTTCTTAAGATGCCATTAGCACATGGTCATTATAGCACAGCTTCAGCAAGGGTTGAAATTCCACAGAAGCTGATCTCTAAGTTCCCATCTGCAGAGGGCAGTAAGATGTATTTACATGCTTATGTTTCTCAAAGCAAGTAGTGTCACCCAAAAAGAAATGTGACAGCTTGAGACCCACAGATGTTCTTGAATTTCTCTGAGTGGTTTCCTAACTTTTCTGTTTCTGGGTTTGAGTGAGAAATACCTGTAACTTGAAAGCATCGCTATTTATTCCCAAAATTCACTTTGCAGGACAAACGCACCTATACCTTTCTTCTCTGAATAAATAACTCCGCCCCCCCCCCCCAGAAAAGGTTTCCTATTGTGAGCTAAAGACTGGAAGGAACCAGGACAGACACATGAAAATTTTTAGTTCCAGAGCCTAATAAGTTCTCCACTTTCTATTTTGATATAACTTTACAATTATAGAAAGTTTGCAAGAATAGTTCCAAGAAATTTTAACCCCTTTGCTTCTTGTTTTTTCTTGTTCTCCACGTGCTTTTTTTTCCTGAATCATTGGTGAGTGATTTGCAGACATCGTATCTCTTTTATACAAATGCTTTAGTAAGTATTTCCTAAGAACAAAACATCCTCTTACATCACCGTTGTGGATTTGTCAAGATCAGGCAGTTTGACGTGGTTACACTGCTATTATCTAATCCACATTCCATAGTCAAATGTTACCAGTTGTCCTAATGTTGTCATATTCACAATTTTTTAGTTTCCTTATTTTTCGGACCCAGATTACAATCTGGAATCATACACTGCAGTAAATTGTCACCTCTTTAATGATCTTTTCATGGGGAACACTTCCTCAACTTTTGATTATCAGTCATATCTTCAAAAGGACAGACCTGTTATTTTATAAAATATCCCTTAGTTGGGGATTGATGTTTCATCATATTGGACCCAAGTTGTGCCCTGTTGGCAGAATCCAAAAGTAACATTGCAGTCGTGGGATATCTTATCAGGAGCTGTGACATTTGTTCCATGGTATTACCTTTGAGTACTTGGCTAAGGTCTGCTTAGTTAATCCAGTATGAAATCATGAGGATTTTTCTTTTATAATCAATACAGAATTTATCTACTAGAGGTTGTAGGTATTCATGATTCTTGTCTGAATCATTTGCTATTAACGTTATGGCTGCAAATTAGCAGGGTTTTCCAACTCTATTGTTCCTCCTGCCCCCCTTGGGTAGTATTCTACCAAAAGAGGGGATTTCCCTCCTGTTACTTACTTATATTGATATTGACTCAGGTCATGGTTTTATTTCATGGATTTTTTTGCTGTCATCATTTATTCCGGTATTATTTGATCACCATCTTCGGTTTGGCCACCGAGGTCTCTTAGCTGTCTTCTATGTGCCTTTGAAGTGTCCCCATCATTTTCTGAGCACTTCCATGCTTTCTGGCCTAGCGATATGGTCCTAGTGATGCAGCATATTTATTTTTCCCACCTACATCTGGGATCAACCATTTCCCTAAAGGCCCCACTTTATTTTATTTTATTTTATTTTACAAGACAGAATCTCAGCGTCACCCTCATAGTAGAATAGTAGAATGCTATGGCATCATAGCTCATAGCAACCTCAAACTCCTGGGCTCAGAGATCCTCTTGCCTCAGCCTCCTGAGTAGCTGGGACTACAGGCAACCGCCACAATGCCCAGCTAGTTTTTTAGAGACAGGGTCTCACTGCTTCTCAGGCTGGTCTCAAACTCCTAAGCTCAGACAATCCTCCCGCCTCGGCATCCCAGAGTTCCACTTCCTTTTAGGGGAGAACAGCATTTGGACACCAAGATCTGTGTGTGAGGAATTTAAAATTGCTTTTGAGGTGACTTTGCATCTAGACTCTTTGGGTAGATGGAGCTAAGGTATACAGCCACATGAATTGACATCTATTCCTGTACCTACAGACACATGTAAATGGAGATATGTATCATTGAATGCACTAATACTTCCAATACACTAGTCTATAATTATCTGTAGTGGGTTTCCTGAGCACTTAGCTGTTTCATCTAGGTTTTAAAATTTATTTGCATTAAGGCTTGCAAAGTAGTCCCTTGTGTTTTTGATTTTGTATGTTCCAGTGATTTTTTTTTTAACATTTACTGGTTTATCATAAAGGATATTATAGAAGATACAAATGAACAGCCAGAAGAAGAGGTGCATAGGGTGAGGTCCGGAAGAGTCCTGAGGGTAGAAACTTCAGTCTTGATAGAGTTTGGAGTGCACCCCCCTTGGCCGGGAAGCTCTCTGAACTCTGTGGTGTAAGGTTTTTATGGAGGTGCCATTACTACACGGGCATGATTGATTAAATCAGTGGCCATTGATGGTTGATTCCATCTCCAGTCTTTATCACCTCTCCAGAGGTAGGCGAGTGGCGCTGAAGAGCTCCACCACTTTCATCATCCCTACAAATGATCAGCCCCAAGCTAAAGCTGTCCAGGGCCCATCATCTCCTTGGTATATGAGACATAACCCAGGCAATTAGAAGGGTTTTAAAACTCTGTGTGAATGCGGGGTAGAGACCAATACACATTTCTTATGTTTCAGGCCAATCCTAAAAGTTAAAATGTACTGACACATTCCCAGAATCTCATTCTGCCATTAATAACTAGTCCAGCCCATCATCACTTCATGTGAATGTCTCGCAGGGTGAGGCCCCTCAGACTTGTAAGCTTCTGCTGGATCTCATCAGGTTCCTAAAGCAGGCGTGGCCTCAGTAACATAAGCCCTCACCCTTTCAGGCATGTGGTGTAACTGAGCCAAGAGACCATGTCATCTCTTGCTCTGAGCCCCTTTGGAAGCATTGATGTAATATTGGATTTCCCTCATTGCATGACCCACTTATTCT